TATCTACAACTTTTTTCTGAAAACTTTTTGTCTAAAAAAGATTGATTTTAATGGAATTAGAGACCATTTTTAAAATAGCCGAAATTTGTTTTTTTTTCGAAATATCTAGTAAGCCATGAACTTTTTCAAAAATCTGAAAGGCGCATATTTATGACCCCACAAAAAGGTAATTTTATTTTTTATTTTTATTTATTTTATTTTTATTTATTTCTTTTCCCATTTAACCGAGTCTCTATCTCCAATAGTTTCCGAGATACCCATAGAGAACATCGTAGAAAACTCACCCTGTAGTTTCTCCGGACTTTTAAAACGGGATCCTGATCCTAAAAATTGGGAAACACTAGTTGGAGGTTGGAAGCTTTGGTGTTTCAACATCAAAATAAAACACTAGTTCACCACAATACACCAAGGTTAGCAAAATTGATCATGATCATGAGTCATGGAGTTAGTGTTTAATTATCATAATCAACTTTTTTATTATCACAATTAACTTTGGCATTTAAACTGGAAGAAATGTCACTTTTTAATGATATTAATTAATCGGAGAAATGTCACTTTTTAATAACGTAAATTAGTTAGCGGAAATATGTTACAGTCATGTTGTGCGTTAAATGTAAATTTATTGAAGGCGATTTTTTTATTTCATCTTACGGTATATTTATACTTTATTAATAATTATCTTATAAAATAATTTGGAAGAAGACAAAACAAAAATTTGAAAAATGATGATAGATAGATGATAATCTCCAACAATTTTTACAACGTCTATATAAAATCTCAATATTAAAAAAGCTTTTTTTCTAGAGTCATTAATCACATACTCGTATGGCCTAAATGTTTTTTATTCATGTAATAATTGGAGCTGATGTTTTAAATCAATATTGTCATTTTAATAATTATTGTATTCATTAATAATTATAAATAATTACCATAAATAAATGAGATCCAGAATTAAATAATGAATATGTAATTAATTGTATTTTTTATTTAATTTGTAATAAGCTCAGAGATATAGACTTTGAACAGTTGCATATAATCAAGGGTGGCACCTAGGTGAAACCTCATTAAATTTTATTTTATAATATCAAATCAAATCAAATCTTTTTCATACAGGGTGAGTCTGAAATAAGTGCAAATATTTTTAAGGCCAGGAGCACGTCTATAACGCCCAGGAAGCCCAGGAACACGTCTATAAGGTATTTTTCACAATAAAAAAAGGTTTTGAAAATACTGCATTTTCTTTTAAATTTTCGTGTATATTTTAGAAAACTTTTTAGAACTGCCTGCTCAGCGCAAATTTTTCGACGGTACAATTTATTAATCTCTAATATTACCATGGTAACAGTTTTACTCTATGGTTACGGCACTAAAAGGGATGAAAATACAGAAAAAACCGGTGGCTCTCAAATTCATTTAAAGATAATAGTATTGTTTTATTAGGAGTAAAAATGACACTTGTTGTGGCGAGGCTGTACGTTTGACGGAAGAGCGTTAGCGAAGCACTAAAAAGCATTTTTACTCCGAATAGAACATGCTATTTTTTTCAAACGCACAAATATTTTTTTAAGCAATTTCAAACGTCCCAGATAATATAACTTTTTAATTTTTTCAGTTAAAAAAACGAGATTTGGTATGTTAGTATATGACATAAATTAGGATTGATTGACGTATTCAATTGTTTTCGGTCACTTCCTGTTTCACCAGAAATTACTACAACTTTTGATTTTTAAATGGTACCCTCGGTATTTTTTAGCTTTATTTCAAAGAAAATGACATTTCAAGACTATTTCAAAGAAAATGACACTCTGAATAGAATGACATAGGTATCATATGTCAACTTTTGACATTTTTGCATATGGTGTATTTGAAATTATAACTTGCGGTTCGTAACGAAAAATTGACTCGAAATACCAAGTGTGTGGTATCAAATTATTCGTAAAAAATGCTTTCTCCAAATACGCTAATTAGCCACCCTCGTTCCATTTGAAAAAATTGAGATATGATTAAAAATACGATTTAAGCATTTTGTAACTGGCCAGGACAAGACACTAAAAACAATAGACGATCAAATCTATTTTTCCAAGGCTTCTTGAGTAAGAATTAGAGTTTTTAACACAGTTATGGCACTCTAGATTGAATTTTAAAATACGATTTTTTATTAAACGAGAATGTCAAAACTTGACATATATTGACTTGATATGTCATTCTATTCAGAATGTCATTTTTTATTGAATAAATTAAAAAAAAACGATGGTTCCATTTAAAAATCAAAAGTTGTAGTCATTTCCGGTGAAACAGGAAGTGACCAAAAACAACTGAATACGTCAATCAATCCTAATTTATGTCATATACTAACATACCAAATCTGTTGTTTTTATCAACTAACCAAATCTCGTGTTTTTATCCGAAGAAATAAAAAAGTTATAGGGGTGAGCCACTTTTGAGACGCACCCGGTATATCAAGAAACTATGGTAAAGGGAAAATATGTGTCTTTTAACGGGACCCAGCAGCCCTGAAAATATTTCCGCTTATTTAAGACTCACTCTGTATATTTTTACCGCCGTAGATTTCCGATTGATTATTTATTATTATTACTCACCCTGTATATTTGAAAACTTTTACTTCTGATACTCAAATAGATGAAAAAATCTTTTGTGAGAATCATGTTAAATAATGTTTACTCAGTAATGTGTGAAAAATGTTCAAAAGCGTTAAATTTTATCGTTTCCTTTTTTTGTTGGCTTGTAATTTGTTGTAACAAAGTAAACTTAAATAAGTAATTAAAACAATATGTACTGAAGTTTAAACAAAGATATTCCTAGAAATGTTTAATTTACAACATGAATTCCCCAACCAAGTCAATGCCGAAAAGCTGAGAATTTTATTTCACCACAAAACTTTTCCCGTGAATTGAGTATTTAAAATGTTCTTCGAATATAAATTGAAGATATTGGTGATCAATTTGGAATAAAATTAATAATGCTACTGATAGTCATGGTGCTGTTCTTCGGATAGACTGTAGTAACTATAATGACGTTAATAAATCACAGAACGTTTCTTTGCAAATTTGATAAATATTGTCTAAAAAGCTGAAAGTTTTATTTTATCTTATCCGATAGTCAAACAGCGCAAAAAGCGATCAACTCAGTAACCATTAGTTCGAAGTTGGTCAAAGAATACTTAGAGAAGATGAACAAAATAAGCAAAGATAATAAAGTCCTCCTAGTCTTGGTGCCCGCTCACCAAGGGATAGGAGACAATGAAAGAGCAAACGATCTAGATACAAATGGAGCAAACACTCCCACTAACTGGACCAGAACCGTTCTACTTTCCAAGTGAAAACCCACCTTAAAGCGGAACTCAAGAACTTGGAAGACTCCATCCGCAACCTGGAATGGGAATGGCAACCTGGTTATGCTTTCGGGGAATAATAGGGGATGTCGACATATTAATTTTGATACAGCACACTATGGGGTCGGAAATACCTCTTACGCAAGATACAGGGTGTTAACGTTTTTGAAAAATTAAAGATATTCTTTAATAGTTTTTTAACAGTTGAAGGTATCGTTATAAAATTTTAATATAGGAGTCTACTTAACAGAGACACTTTAAATGTAAAAAGGAGAAGAGGTTTTAGTTTCAACCAGTGGCGTAGGCATACGCATTGGGTAATTTAAAAAAAATAATACGCCACTGTTACAAATAAAAATTTCGGAGTATTTTTATTTATTCGATTTATTTCCAAGAAAAAATGTAAATTTCTCCTATCTAACACCATTTTGTCACAATTTAAAAATATAATAATTTTTTTAATACCTTAAATATGCGAATTATTATAACTACCTTAAAACTAAGAATGTTATTATTAACAATGCAAAAAAATCTAGTTTAAGAAGAAAAAAAAATATATTTAAGAAGCTAATAGTAAATAGTACTAAACTAAAGTTACCCAAGGTGTGTAACTCTAACCTTGGCCTATTTAAATAAGTGATGAAGGAAGCTGACGATGCATGCATTCTCATAAAAAAATGTATTTATTTTTAAATTGTGACAAAATGGTGTTAGATAGGAGTTACAAGAGACATTTTTACTTGGAAATTACCGAGTAAATAAAAAAACTCTAAAAATTTTATTAAATTGTATTTTTTATCAGTGGCGTACTATTTTTTTGCAAGAATTACCCGATGCGTATCACATTTACGCCACTGGTTGAAACTAAAACATTAGCGTAACTAGCAATTTATCCTGGGGTGGGCTTGGGGGGGGATGTAATGGGGTTGAGCCCAGGGGGGCCTAGGTATTTTGTTTTTTTTTTAAATGAAAAATCATTTTAAAAAACACATTTTTTGAATAAAACGTTTACAAGAATTTCTCTATCAAGAAATTTCATAGACTTGGTTATCAAACCGAGTAACCGTAGATTACTTAAATACCTACAAATTTCTATAAATCCATCTAAAAAATAAAAATTAACACATTTTAACCTAACCTAACCTAACTAAACAAAATAATATTAACTAAACAAAACGCGTTAACTAGAAAACGTCATTTTTACTGCATCACAAGCAAATGAAAATTAATACGTAGCCAAGAGTAATAATTCAGGATTTCTCTGGGGGGTGCCCAGCAGTACCTGAGGGGGGCGGCACCCCCGGGCACCCCTGTAGTTACGCCAATGAATAAAAACTTATTCTTTTTACATTATTTGAAGTATCTCTGTTAGGTAGACTCCTAAAATAAAACTTTATAACGATACCTTCAACTGTTAAAAAACTATTAAAGAATATCTTTAATTTTTCAAAAAGAGGCATTTCCGGCCCATAGTGTGCTATATCAAAATTAATATTTTGGCGTCCCCTATCATTCCCCGAAAGCATGACCGACTTATAGGAATCACCCTGTAGATAAAACATTATGTGTGGACGGGACTTTATAAGTGTAAGCAAAGAATATCTTAAAACTATAATATTCTTTGGTGTAAGTTATTTTAATTACTTACCAGATAGAGTTAAAGTCCATAGATAGTAGTCGTAAATTTGATGGAATACCGTTTGGCTTGAATTTAACGCTTGAGTCATAGCGTTTCAAAATGCACCGACAAAAAATCTGCAATAAAGAAAACCACATTTTACTCGAAAATATAGAAAAATTATTGTTAAATTATATAACATCTTCATCGTGAATTAAATGAAATGCTAGCGTAATAATTAACAATAAGTACAATAATTAATGGTACATGATACACAATATTGTGTGAAAGTAAAAGTAACGCCAACTGTAACAAACTTTCTTCTTATGTTGCATTTTAAGATATGGAGAAAAGGTAAACGATTCGATTAAATTCTTAATGTTTGTGGACTATCTCAACTTTCGCTTCATTCAGCAAAATACTTTAATGGAAAGTTATATTCGTTAATTTTCACTTTTTATTAATCATCTAGTGGCGTAACTTATTACGGAGTATAACGGATACACAGTACAGGGAGGCTTGGATAGAAGTTTATACTCTTTATATATTCATCAATATTCATCCGTGATATACTATATGATCGGAAAAAGCTACCAAGGTCGGCGTAGAAATACCGATACCGATCGATAATAATTTCGTGCTCGACATGTGATGTTCGTTCATCGACCTGGCTCATGGTTCATTTGGTTCATGGACCTTCATCGAATTTTGGCAAAAATTAAGTAAATCTAAATAAATAAAACAAAGTCGGGTTAGCTACACCTTTTACTATATGGTTACACCATTTATAACTCAAGAAATGCTGGACCGACTTTAATGATCTCTGATTTGTCATTTGGTCTGTCTGGATTCGTCTCTGTCCCAAATAGCAGAATAATTATTAAAATATTATTAACTATTTAATAAAATTAATTAAACTATTATGGAAGTATTAGTATAGAGGAAAAATTAAAGAAAAAAAATACAGAATTTTTTTTTCAAACGTCACAAATAATGTATTAATTTTTGCGACGTGATAGATGGTACAAAACCGTAATTTTAACACCTAGGCATAAAAGAGAAGCATTTTTACGCCTAAGCATAAAAGTACGAGAATATTATTAAACTGACATACAGTGTCAAATTTAACGAGCGTAACCATAGTTTCTCGATATATAATTACTTACAAGATATTACTTTTAAATATTTTTATACAGGGTCGCTGATATGTATGGGAACGGTCGATTATTCGGTAAAATATACGAGGTACCACAAAAAGTTAAATATAAAACTTATAGGTAATAAATTTAAGTATAAGGGTGGGTCATAAAGTCGTGGCACATCAATGTTTCATATTTTTAATTAGAACCCTCTGTATATTATTGCATATTTCAATTCTTCCGTCAATTCTAAGCAAAAATCGAGATAAACACAATGTAACTCAAGCCAACCTTTTCCGAATTATTGACCTTTGAAAATATCACTTAAACAATTCGATTTAGTTAATTTCGATGTGTTCGGTCTCATTTAACGATGTCATTCTGCGGAAACTGTGATACTTAATAATATTTGACATTACAAAATCTTCGTTTAACATTTCAAAATCCAAACTTCATAATTCGGAAATGGTCGAATTTTGGTACATTATATGTATTACAATTATTGCTTAAAATTGAAGGAAGAATTGCTTTGAAATATGCATGCAAATATGCAGGTAGTCGCATTAAAAAAAATTGATGTGTCACAACTTTATGGCCGACCCTGTATACTTAAATTTACTACTATCTGATTCTGACTTTTGCATTTTTGGCGGTAGTTTGTATACCAGGTGCGTCTCAAAAGTGGCTCACCCCTATAACTTTTTTATTTTTTCAGATAAAAAATGAGATTTGCTATGTTAGTATATGACATAAATTAGGATTGATTGGTGTATTCAGTTGTTTTTGGTCACTTCCTGTTTCATCGGAAATGACTGCAACTTTTGATTTTTAAATGGCACCCTCGGTTTTGACATAGTCACTCAAAAATAAATCCTATTTTAAATTCCAATCTAGGGTGCCATGGCTGTGTTAAAACCACTAATTTTTAATCAAGGAGCCTTGGAAAAATAAATTTGATCGTCTAATGTTTTTAGTGTCTTGTCCTGGCCGGTTAAAAGATGCCCGAATCGTATTTTTATTCATATCTCAATTTTTTCAAATGGAACGAGGTGTCCAAACATTAGCATATTTGGACAAAGCATTTTTTTACAAATAATTTGATACCACACACTAGTTATTTTGAGTCAAATTGTCGTTATGAACCGCATGTTACAATTTCAAATAAACCATATGCCAAAATGTCAAAAGTTGACATATGAAATGTCATTCGATTCGAGTGTCATTTTCTATCGAATAAAGTAAAAAAATACTGAGGGTGCCATTTAAAAATCAAAAGTTATAGTCATTTCCGGTGAAACCGAAAGTGACCACTAACAATTGAATACGTCAATCAATCCCAATTTATGTCATATACTAACATACCAAATATCGTTTTTTTATCTGAAAAAATAAAAAAGTTATAGGGGTGAGCCATTTTTGAGACGCACCCGGTATTTTACATGATAATCGACCGTTCCCATACATAACAGCGACCCTGTATAATTTGCAGTGTTTGAAATTGTTCAGTCTGTAATGACAAACGTACAGCCTCGCCGCAAAAAGTGTCATTTTTGCTTCTAATAAAACATTTTAATAAATCAAATTTAGAACACCGTCATCTTTGACAGCTTCTGTCACGCACGCTTATACGCTTTATTTGTAATAATTGATGTTCTCTGCAAATCAGTGACATACTAGGTTATATTATAGAAATTAAACGGAAAATAGTGAGAAAATAGCATAATCAATTCTAGAGAGATTTTGAAATATGTATATAGAAATAGAAAACACTTCAATCATCGAAATGCAAGCAAAATTATAGAGAACAGATGAGAACACAAAGTATAGACAACTGTCAAATTGATTAGTCTCTAATCGTTCTAGATCATTTGATCAATCAGTCAGCCACACTACAAAACTGTCAAAAAATATCTTACTCCGCGTTAGTTCAATGTTAAGCGAGACTGGTCTTGATCTTCGTCTTGCAGAAAAAGCAAAATCAAGACCAAGGCCGACCAGTGCAAGGCTTCCGCAACACCAAGCATGCAAGACTCCTGCGGTCTTGCATTTTTAACGTTTATGTGACTTAAAAATTATTGTTTTAATCTATTATAAATAGTGTTCTCCTAATTATTTGCTGATATAATATATTGAAAAAGAAATTCCTCAGACAAGTTTTACTTGCATTGTATTACTAAAAATGATATTTATTTAAAGATCTTCTATGTAGAAAGTGAATCCAGTAGAAATCTATTAAAAATGCAAGAAAAAGATAAAGACCAAGATTAGGCCCTGCAAGATAAAGACCAAGGGAGTCTTTTACACCGTTTTTATTCGATCATATCTAATATTATAATAATTTGTTGTCCATATTATTGTAATCTTCGGGCTAAAATATAATTATATATGTACACACAATGAAGACAGATAATCAATCAAGTCAGTGTCAAAGATATGAGACAGTCAGATAATCGATTATCACTGACATTTTTTCAACAGGAAGGAATCAGATTTAAACCACAGATCTAAGTTTTAAACATATTATTTCTACCAAACGTAATTTGTGCTAATTGAACCCCGTTGATGAATTAATTATTCATTTTTATTACTTTCTTTTTTATAGATGTCACTCAAGTGCTTTTGATAATAAATAAATAAGTAAAATTCGGTCAACTCGAAGGAAGCGCAAAAAGAAAGTTTCTAAACTTTGACTTCAGTTGTCTCTGGCTTTAGTAAACATTTTTTTTAGTAAAGAAAATCCTCGATACAAGTTAAACGATCAATATGTGATATCCAATGCTATGTGGTCAAGATTAATATAAATTATCATCTTCTTTCCAGGAAAAACAATAAATAACTAAATTTTGTTGTACAGTGTGATCCAATGTTCCGAAAAAGTTCTACCGGGTGCGTCTCAAAAGTGGCTCACTCCTATAACTGTTTTTTTTTCATATAATAAAATGAGATTTGGTTTGTTAATATATGATATAAATTAGGATTGCTTGACGTATGCATTTCTTTTCGGTCGCTTCCGGTTTCACTGGAAATGGCTACAACTTTTGATTTTTAAATGACACTTTTGGTATTTTTTTTCTTCATTTGATAGAAAATGACATTCTGAATAGAATGACATAGCAAAAGTCAACTTTTGACATTTTAAATTAAAAAAAATATAGCGTTTAAATTTTAATTTAGAGAACCATGGCCACATAAATGTAGTAACAATTTGACTCGAAATACCGAGTGTGTGGTACCAAATTATCCCCAAAAAATGTTTTTTCCAAATATGCTAACAAGCCACCCTCGTTCCATTTGAAAAAAAATGAGATATGATTAAAGATACGATTTGGGCATCTTCTAACCGGCAAGGACAAGACACGAAAAACATTAGATGATCAACTCTATTTTTCCAAGGCTCCTTGATTAAAAATTGGTGTTGTTAACACAACCATGACACTCTAGGTTGAAATTTAAAATACGATTTTTTAAGCGAAATGATTATGTGATATCATTCTATTCAGAGTGTCATTTTCTATCGAATAAAGTAAAAAAAAAATACCGAGGGTGCCATTTAAAAATCAAAAGTTGCAGTCATTTCCGGTGAAACAGGAAGTGATCGAAAACAATTGAAAACGTCAATCAATCATAATTTATGTCATATACTAACATAATAAATTTATTTTTTTTTATCTAAAGAAATAAAAAGTTATATGGGTGAGCCACCTTTGTACACACCAAAATGTACCCAGTATATTAGGGTTCAGGTTTGAGATTTTCATTCCAAACTATTTTATAAAATCCGCAGGCAATAGTAGCGTACATTTTAAAATATTTCTGTCAATGTACAGGGTGAATCAAACATATTTTTAAGATAAGGATGTAAATTTTCAACTCAAATGCTGTACAGGGTGAGTTTTAAATCAGTGCAAATATTTTTGGGGTAGTATATATCGAACCCAGAAACATACGTATATGAGTTTTTTTTGCGAAAAAAATTTTTTGAAAATTTGGAATTTTTTGAAAATTTTTTTGGGAATTTGTTTAATTTTTAGTCATAAAACATAATATATATCTTCATAATATGGCAACATAGGTTTTAGATTAAATTTACAAGAAAGAAACCTCAAAAAAGATCCAGTGGTACTCAAAATTTAAGCGAAAAATATCTTTTGTTTGTAATTTTCAAAGTAAAATATTTCGGTTATTTAAGGCTTGATAAGCAGTAAAGAGAAAATATGTTTCTTTTATCTAGATCTACCAGTCCTGAAAATATTTGCACTTATTTAAGACTCACCCTGTATATTTTTTACCGCCATAGAGTGGCCAATTGTAAACAGTAAATACCGAATTCAAAAATACCTTAATGTCATATTTTATATGGAATAGAGGTTTTGAAATACTAAATTTGCTGTATAGTATAAAAGCTGGTGTATTTGAAGCACCTATCAGCCAATAAGCAAAAAAATACAATACTTAGTTTTGACTCGCCCTGAATAAATCAAACAACAATAAATATTTTAGTAAGCTGAATTTTGAAAAAATACTAATGTACGGTATTTTCGGTTAAAGAGTATGTACTATCAAAAATTTACGTGATTTTACATTTTAAACTATGATTTGTTTTTAAGTGAATTATAATACATTTATTAAATAGAGAATTTATCACGAGTAATATATCTTCTAGCCATGGATAAGCTGGAGTTTAAAAATTCTATATCTGTATATCCAGTTATTAACTTTATATTAGTTCTAATTTGGTTATCTTATAGTAATTTACTATGTTAGATAATATAAAAATGTACCCACCTTTTCAAAAAAAAACTTTTCAGTCAACTAAAGAAAATATACATAATCTTCTCTAGCAACAGATCAAATATCTCAAGACGAACTCGACTATATCCCTACGTTCCATGATTACACTGCAGACCAAAAATCACAAAACACTATATTCAATTAATGACAAATAATTAGATAAAAAAGAAATGTTAGGAAGACGACTGACAATTTTTTTATCTAAATTTATGGAAATTTCCACGCGATATCGCCTCGTCAATGTGAAGCAACAGAGTGAAGCTATGAAGAACAAGTCACGTTCAAAGAAGACAAGTTTCGTTAGTGAAAATGGAGGAAGTAGGCCGTTATTGGCTTGGGGGAGCCCAATATCGAGAGTTCCGTTGTTTGGTACCGATACACGAGTATTCGGCGCTACTTTCCTAATTATTCTGGTGTAATAGGGTCGATGGTATGCACAGAGAGGCGTTGCGGTACGACTTGGACGGTGTGAAGCAGGTCCGTTTTGGTGACCGCAATAGGGATGTCTAATTTTAGATTAAGTATCGATATATGGTGGATTCTGTGCTAAATGGTACATTCTTCTTAATTTATTTATAATTTAATTTTTTCTTTGTTATTTGTTTTTAATTCTATACATTCAATGTTCCGAACAAGCTCCAAATCCATCTTCATTTCAATCAAAGTTAGTGGATTTGTCATAAAATTCCTATTTTAAAAATATCATAATGTTTAAACTATTTTTATAACGAATTATTTTTGAAATATGATTAACTTTAAATTAAATTTTCTACACTCTTAAGGCTCTTTTAAAATGATTGATGCCTTGCTCTCAGCTAAACTTCGCCCACAAATTGTAACCATTTTTTATAGTACAATAAAGACGATTTATTATTATTATTTTTGTAACAAGTAGTACTATACGACTGAAAATAAAACGGCGTCAAAGACGGCTGGAGAATTACAATGGATGATAATTTTAGCGAGGTCCAGCCCTAGACGTCATTATTTGGCGCGCGCCTTCTTTATTTTTAATGGCGTACTGCTGGATGGCCTTAAGAAAGTTGTAATTTATTTTTATATTAAATAAAAATTATTTTTAAATGGTGTAGTATAAAAAAAATATTTTTTGGAAATAGATTTGTGTGTCTAGAAACGATCTATTTCTTTTTAATATTTCTATACTTAGTATTAATTTTGACAAGTTTTATGTCAATTTTTAGTAAATGACGTCTAGATAGTCCTCGCCGAAATTACCATCGATTGTCCGTCCGACTTTGACGCCGTTTTTTTTTTCGATCATACAGTACTTTATTATTATTTCTATCTAATCATAATAGAATAGATCAACACAGATTTTATCAAAAAAAAATATTTTATTCTGTTGTGCAGTAAAAACGAAAATGCAAGAAAATTTGATACCCACCGTTAATTGAAAGAATTTCAATCAATGTAGTACCACTATAAATACCGAGAATCAAGAATCTAATTTCAAATTCTCTTATTGCCATGACACTTACCTAAAATACGTTCTTCAGAAGAAAAAAAACATCAATTCATTTTTAAATTGAGAGTTAGGTTAGGTTAGGTAGATAAATCAACAAAATTGATCCTTTGCATATTGCATATTGCATTATGCAACTGCAGATGTTTGCAACGTGCTGCTATTGATTCTCGTATTATTATTAAAGGAAAGTCTAACCAATCAGTCAGGGAATATTTTAACAGAATGATAAAAATTACAGAAAAAACAATTTATCTGTGTAATAGGTGACAGGACAAAATAATTATCACTGTCATCTATCTATCCACTTGTTTAACAGACTATAAAAAATATTTTATTGGTTTTATTTAATTCTCTATGTAACTCATATTAAGTAATAATTATTAATTTTTAATTAATTTGACTATCTAACGATAGTCTTATCAAAACATCAATTAGCAGTACGAAAAATTTAAAGCAGGTACCTTCATTTTGGTCACCACAATAATTTTTAGTTTTTAATATTTTTTCTTATTTTTTTGCTTTTGGCCATGTAAGGAGATATCCCCTCTGAAACTTTAAGACCCTGTAGTACAAACATACAGTATGACACCTTCAATGTTCATAAAAAAGTGACAGAATTTACAAACAGACACAGAAAACACAAAGAAGCAATCCTAAGAGACGATAACAAAGAGATAATTCTAGGAGTAAAGGCTAAGCTTGCGAGATGGAAAGAATATATCGAAACACTTTTTAATGATGACAGACCTAGCTCCCCACCACCGATAGATCACATACGGAATGAAAAGGCTCCAGCAATAACCAAAGACGAAATTGTTCATGCAATAAAAGCACAGAAAAGCGGAAAAGCTACCGGCCCCGATAAAATAAACGTTGAAATACTTAAACTGATTGCAGATAATGAAAGCAAAAGTCTAGATTTGGTAACAGCATTAGTTAACAAATTATATAGCTCAAGCAAGAGGTGCCCGGTGGCGTGGCGTAGAGGTACAGGCTCTCGTCTGCCAATCTCAAGGTACTGGGTTCGAATCCCACACCCGGCATTGCATCAGCCGACTATTTTTTATTTAAAATAAAAATAGTTTGGGTACCTAGGTCGACTCAGCCTTAAATGAGTACTTGGGATTCACAATCCTGAGGTAATAATAGGCGGTTGAAGCGTAGTGCTAGCCACATTACCTTCCTTGTATACCGAATGGCTCTAGTATGGCAAGCTGTACCTTGCTACTCCCAAGGCGTCCAACGGGAGCTATTATTATTATATAGCTCAAGCAAAATACCGTCAGATTGGCTTAAATCAACATTCGTAACCCTGCCAAAGAAACCCAATGCCTCACAATGTGATGACTATCCGATGATAAGTCTTATGTTCCATGTCCCCAAAACCTTTCTTAGAATCATTCACATGCGAATCTACAAGAAGTGCGAAAATGGACAACACCCAGTTTAGCTTCAGAAACAGACTCGGAACGCGTGAAGCACTCTTCTCCCTAAATGTAATGACACAGAGGTGTAGAGACATGAATGTGAATGTAGTTGCATGCTTCATCGACTATCAGAAGATGATCAAAATTCTAAGAACAACCGAAGTTGACGAACAAGACCTACGTTTCATATCAGTACTTTATTGGTATCAAACGGCGGTAGTTAAGATGAAGCAGTCAACATCGGAAGATATACATATCAGACGGGGTGTTCGACAGGGTTGCGTCTTGTTGCTCCTGTTTAACCTGTACTCGGAGACTATATTTAGAGAAGTACTGGATCGAATCCAGGGCGGAATCAAGTTTAATGGAATCCCAATAAACAATATTAGATATGCCGATGATACGGTTATAATAGCCAACGATATACAAGAACTCCAAAGCATCATAGATTCCGTAGTCCACTATAGTGAGATGTTTGGACTGCATCTCAATGTCTCCAAGACCAAACTATTGGTATTCTCTAAGACTCCAATAAATGCACACCAGACCTGCGTGTCAAGGGACAAACAATCGAACAAGTGACCTCAATAAAGTATTTAGGAGCTAACATCAATAGTCAGTGCGACACGAAAAGAGAAAATATTTTCAAGAATTGAGCAAGCGAGGAAAATCTTCGTGAGTATGAAATCATTCTTTACAAGACGAGACCTCAATGCGGAACTCAGAACTCGAATGGCCAGATGCTACGTCTTATCTGTGTTACTCTATGGATGTGAGAGCTGGACACAGATCACAGATCGAAATAAATTCACAGATCGAAAAGAGAATAGAAAATTCGAAATGTATGTGTAGACGGATGCTGCGAATCTCATAGATACAAAGGATCACCAACGATGAAGTACTCCAGCGCATGCAGAAACAAAAAGAGATACTGAACACCATCAAGAAAAGAAAAATGCAATACCTGGGTCATATGACGAGAGGTGATAGATACGAAATACTGCGCCTCATAATAGAGGGCAAAGTGCAAGGGAAAAGATCAGTAGGAAGACGCCAGAACTCATGGCTAAAAGATTTGAGGAGATGGTTTGAACGCTCGTCTGCGGAAATCTTTCGGGCTGCAGTTTCCAGAGCCACAATTGCCATTTGGATCGCCAACCTTCGGCAGGAGAGGGCGTGATAAGAAGAAGAAGTACAAACATAGCATAAACTCGAGTTCATGTGAACTGTGACAAGCGGTGATCTCGGCAATTTAATTTAGGTATATTTTTCTTGGAGTATAAGAAATAGCTGCTCGAAAATATCGTTGAAATTAGTTCAAAAATTATGTACACTCTCGTATGAAAAAACGCAAGGGAAAAAATTTTGGTCAGATTTAAAATGTTGTATTTCTTTTATTTTTAGCCCTATTTCCATGATTTTTTAGCCAACTGTATATAAATATATCAACTTTATTTCGCGTAAACTCGGTTTATTATAAACTTTAGTATTTGACTTATTATACAGGGTTAATCAAAGAGTTATTATTTAACTTTTCTTTAAAACACCCTGTGCAATAATTTCGTGCAAGTGCTCCTAAAATGTTATTTCTCTTCTATGTTGTTCTTCTATGTTCTTATTTTTTGATTCATGTCAATACATGCTTTGGTTAATTTTTAAGAGCGAAATGAAATCGCCACAAACATTTTGCGATCTTTTCAATTATCGTTACTTTTTGATGTTATTCTTCATAATGACGAGGTGGCTTTGGTGATTATTGTTGTGTAGGATTAAATATGGTTCTTAGCAACTTATTCTGTGGTACTTAGTGTCGAAGGTTGTGCAAAAGTCATTGATTTTATGGCCGAAATTATGAGTATTTGTTTGGTTCTTGAAGAAGAATGGGAAAACATAACACAATAGCCTCATTAACAGTATGAACCGACGTCTACAGACAGTTATGACAGCCGGGGAGGTAATACAAAGTATCAGAGTATATTTTACAAGTTTTTTGTTTGTTTGTACACTTAGTTATTACAGTTATTTTTTTTAATATCCTTAGTTCTGTTAGTGTTACTAATATTTTTTTTGAAACCAAGCTTGTATCGTTACATTTTAACATTTTTTTAAATTTTAATATAGAGTTCTAATCAGTGTCGATATGACATTATGACAATAGTCACCAAAGCCACCTCTTGATAATAAAAAATAACATAAAAAAGTAATGATACTTGAAAAAATTGCAAATAGTTGATAGGAAGTTCATTTCGCTCTTAAAAATTAACCAAGGCATGTGTTGACATCAAAAAACAAAATGCTCAGGAGACATGGTTCTGATCGAAAAATTTTTTTTTTTCGGAAAATGTACTCACGAAATTATTGCACAGGGTGTTTTAAAGTTAGGGTAAAAAACAACCCTTCTATGACCCTGTATAATAAGCCAAATACTAAAGTTTATAAAAAACTGAGTTAATGAATTAAAGTTAATAATAAATAATAGATTTATATACAGTTTGCTAAAAAATCATATA